CCGGCCTCGCAGCAGCCTCCACGGCCGCCCGCCTCCCCGGAGGAGCCGTCGGTGGCCGCGTCGTCGGTGGGCAGCAGCCGCCTGCCGCTCAGTGCTTCGCTCGCCTTCTCCGACCTCACCGAGGAGATGCTGGACTGTGGGCCCGGCAGCTTCATGCGCGAACTGGAGGAGCTGCGCTCGGAGAACGACTATCTCAAGGTGGGGGCGCCGAGGGGCTGGGGGTCGGGCTGACCTGGGCCCCCGAGCCAAAGGCACCAACCGCCCGCTTTCCCAGTAAATAAGCTGTGGAGGGGGCCCAGACTCCCTGAGTACCCCTGAGGTCAGTGCTCCCTCTCCCCAATCTCCACTTTATTTGGGAAGCCCTCTGCTGAGGACGGACTTGGATAGGACACTTTTCAGAAAGCCCGGACTTGGAGAGTGGGGATTTGGATGGTGCCTAGATGGGTGGGGGTGGGTAGGCAGTGAGTGGCCGGACCTCTGCTTTCAGCCACTGGAACCCCGCCCCCAGGCCAGCAAGCTGTGGTTGTGGGTAGTAGAGGCTCTCCTTTCTGGGGCAGGCATTGGTGAGCAGGCTGCCAGAGAAACCTGTGGCCATCCCTGCCAAGGAGAGGCTGGAACACAATTCTGAGTCTTTATGCAGGGCTTCCCCAACGCAGGCTTGTCCCTGCCTGCCTTTTAGGGCGGGTCCGGTTTGAAAGCATGACATCTGGGAACATCCCCTTGGCTAGAGTCCACTTCCGCCCAGTCTAACGGTCCTCCAGCCTGGGAGGTTGATGTCGTGGGAGAGCCGGTGCAGAGGCAGCTTCCTAAATTGCAGTGTGCTGTCTTCTGCCCTCTGTGCTGCAGGTTTTGAATACTACTGCCCCACCGGCCCCTCTTGCTCACTGTCTCAGACCAGACAGTCCCATGTTCCCAGTGGGAGGAGGGACACTGCCTGCCTGAAAGGAGCATTCCCTGAGGACATGTGCGGACCTGGGAGTTTCCCAGGGGAACAGGCTTTACCTTGGCCCTTTCAGTGGACATGAGCACGTCAGTCACTGCCGGCCTCCATCACCTGCTACCTACCTGGCACCAATGTTAGCTGTAGGGACAGTCCAGCCCTCTCGTGTTAGCCTTGTTCTGGGAAACTGGAATCATGGGCTCTACTGCCACAGGCCAGGCACAGTTTTGGAAGAGACCGAAATGTTGCCTGCGCTTGTCAGTTGATGACTTGGCACAGCACCCAGAGTGCCCCTGGCTGGGAGCCAGGGAATTAACAGCACTCTGTTGATTTATGTCTGCCCGCAGCACTTAACTTTGCTATGTGGTGCTTTTGGCCAAAGGTTTCTCCCTCCTTAAGAGTGTTGGCGTCTTTCTTAGTTGTGTCTCTCACATGTGTTTAATAAATGTTTGTAGAATAGAGCAGGGTCTGTCTGAAGCACAGCCTACCCCATCAGCCTCAGACCCTTCCTCAGGACAGACCTCAGTTTCTTCATCTGTTAAGTGGGAAGATTAGTCTTCCCAAAGGCGCTCTTCAGTGCTGACGATCAGAGGTTCTGTGAGCCCTTCTAGGCTTTCCAAACCAGTGGTGAATAAAGAGCAAGTGAGGGATGGGCAGGAGGAGGGAGAGGGGGCCTGGCCTCTGGATGCTTCCAGAACCCTCAGCCTGAGCTGCTCTGTGCCCAGACCTGGAGCCCCTCACCCTCACTGCTCACCCTGGCAGAAAAGGAAGGGGTCACAGTGATTCGCGTCAGGGTCCCTTCATGTACCCACCCCTGTGGGCTCCTGTCCGTTCCAGGAGGTCATCATGTAGAACCCCCAAGTCTGTCCGGGCCACCTGTGCCTGTTTAGAAGGGAAAGTGGTCCCAGGAGTTTGGGAGTTGAGCGTATGGTCTCACAGGGCCCAGGGCCCCGCTGGGAACAGGCCAGTGCCTGGACTAGGGCTGAGCCTCGGTTTCTGCCATCTGTTCAGTTGTTCAGGCTTCCCGCGTAGGCCTCAGGCCACTACTGGAGCTGGGATCTGTAGTTTCCTGGCGGATCTTGGGCAAAATACTTAATGTCTGTGCACCGATTTTCTCATGTGTGAAAGTGGGACCGTTGCACGTCTTCCACCGTTAAGGATTAGATGAGATAATGTGTACAAATACCACTAGAGTGCCTGGCACGCAGTCAACCTCTGAGTACCTGAGACACCGCTGTTCTCCAGAGATGTGGGGAGCACCTGTCACGTGGATTCTCTGGGTGCGTAGTCTGTCCTCCTCCCCACCTGTCACACACAGGCTGACTCTTTCTCCTAGCCTCTCGTTCATTCATCTATTCACCATCTGTTTATATACAGCCTGCTGGGTGCTAGTGCAGATCTGGGAATACAGATGTGAACAGGGCTGCACTGCCTGTTTTCAAGGTGCCTTGGAGAGACCAGGGTTAAACAGGAGCCGCAGATAAAGCACAGTACAGATTGTGGTAAGGGTAGAGAAGGGTAAGTGTGCCAGGAGCGCAAAGGTAGAGCCAGGGCTTAGGGAAGCCAAGAGCTGGGATGACATGGAGCCAGCTGAATTGGGAGGTGCAGGAAGAACGTTCCAGGAGAGGGGAAGTTGGAAGAGGCTCATTGGGTTTGAGAACAGTGTGGAGGCCAGAGAAGGGAAGGCGATTGGTAAGAGAGGTGAGCAAGGGCAGACTGTGCTCATTCTTGCTGTGCACTTGGGCCAGTCCCTTGACTCCTCTGGAGTTCTGTTTCGGAGACTAATGTGGTAGGCATCTCATTCTACAGGGTAGAGTGTTTCTTTTTCTTTTTCTTTTTCTTTTTTTTTCTGGTACTGGGAGTCGAACTCAAGACCTTGCACTTGCCAGGCAGGCGCTTGTGCTGCAGAGCTAGATCCCCGGCCCTCCTGGAGTTTTGTTCACCTGACTGCCGACCTCCCACAAGCGGAGGGAAGACTGAACGTGGGCCGTCAGTGTCAGGGCTAGGACAGGAGGCGGGGTTTTGTTCATCCTTCAGATAGTAAGCTGAGGCTGGAGCGGGGAAGGGGCTGGCTCCGGGTCTCAGAGCAAGCTCTCCCAGCAGTTAGGGGTTGGAGTAAGAGTGTATTAAGATCCTGTTTCTTGCCTCTCTGGTCCACTTGGTTTCTGATATACAGAAATTAGGTAACCGGGGAAAAGACTCCAGATTGCCAGTGTGTCCAGCGAAGGCCGGGACTGGGCTGAGCGGAGGATACCTGAGTGCATGGGTGGCCCTGTTCAAGTTCATCTCCCGGGTGGGCAGTGGGGACACTGAGGACTGAGCCAGGGAGGGACTCTCCAGTGGCTCTGGATCTCCCAGATCGCCTGGATCTCCCATCTCGTGAGGCCCTCCCCTGCGGGCCAAGTGAGGAAAGTGTAGAAATGGAACAACTCTCTCCCAGTGAAAAGACAGAAAGGGCTCCTACAGAGACAGTAGTAAGCTGGCTTGAGTGATTCAGAGGGTGGATGACCTTGGATGCTTTGATACAGACATAGGATTTGTGGAAAGCAGCTTGTAATCAGTCCAAAATGTTGGTGGTTGTGATTTCTTGAGGAATGTTCGGGGGAGATTTATGGGGTGGCTACAGTCCCAAGGTCCCTGCTAGCCAAGGAAGTCTGAAGGTTACTGACTGTTGAGGTTTCACCTCGAGAGATGCAGCTGTATCTGCAGAGCAGGCACATCAACTGTGTTTGACCATCAGAGCCCCGGTGGTCTGAGTCCACCCGTGACCACTAAAAGATACCCCTTTGCCACGGGGTGAGGTCAAGCTAGGAGCTCACTGGTGGGGATACAAGAATCAGAGCTGGAGCCCAAAGCCCTGGCTCTGGGACCTGATTCTGCCATTTGCTGTGTGGCTGTAGACAGGTTACCTGGTCTCTATTGAGTTGCTTTTTTTTCCTCATCTATATGCCTGTCTGGACAACCTCAAAGGATTGTTTTCAGCAGTCAGGAAAACATTTTGCAAGCAGTGAGATCCCACATCTCATGGGGAATTGTTGTTACCCTTAGCCAATGAGCAGGCAGGATGTTTATCTGTGTGTTCATTCTTGGAGGAACTAGAGAAGCCAGGAGAATGGATTTCCTTAGCCTTAGAATATTAATAAATCAGGAGCTGCTCCAGGGATGACAGGAAGGTGTGATCGCATTCCCTACTCTGCACGTGGCCACTAGGAAGCAGGCTCCCCACCTCCCTGGATGTTCTAGATGTGTGTCTGAGGTGCTAGCCGCCTAGATGTCTATTGAGAAGGACCCAGAGGGAGCGCTTCATTCATCCCAGTTGCCATGATACAGATGTGTGAATGGAGGTTCCAGCTCCTGCAGCCAGGATTCCCACCCCAGCTGGTCTAACTCAGGGCCCTGTTCTTTCTACAGGGGGAGCAGTGCACTGAGCTTTCTGTTGCTAAGTGTGTCCGGGACATGGATTGGTGAGAGGGATCTTGTTGTGGGCCAGGCTCTAGACTAAGATTTGTAGAGAGCAACTGGTGCATAGAACAGGCTGAGGGCCTGGAGCCTGCAGGTGGGGGCAGGGGACGTGTGCTCGTGTCCCCGGACGAGCAGCTGTGTCTTCCAGGGGATAAGCATGCCTGCCCAGCGGCAGGAGACCCTTTAGTGCTCAGGAAATATTAGTGCGCACCCTGGTCATCACCTTTCTCTAACCTGTTCCTTGTTCGTTCATTCATTCATTCATTCATTCATTCGGTGAGTATTTTCTGAGTGCCTCCTGGGTGCCAGACTGCACCACAGACCACTGTGTGTAGCTCTTCTATTTTCAGCTCCTGGATGATGCAGGGGGAGAGAGTTTCAGTGTGTCACTGGATAGAGGAGAAGGCTAGTTCCTGCCCAGAGTCCCAGCCTCCCCCGTGGGACTGAGAGGTGGCCTGGAGAAGCCTGCTCCAAATCCTGGGTCTCTTAAGAATCCTCAGCTGTTTGCCTGTCACAGCGGGAGGGGACAGCTCCTAAGATGGAAAATGTGAGGCAGTGGCTGCGTGGCCTGGGTGGATAAGGAGCTCTTAGGACTGCCGGCATTCCTTGAGGAGCTGGGTACATGCTGTCTCACATAGACAAACACATGCACATTCACAGCGCAAGCTCGGAGCCCTCAGGCACTCACAATCTCATGGATACATCCAGGGAAACGCTGATGTTGTAGGCTTCAAGAAGCATCTCGCTGGGTGTTGTGGCGCACACCTCTCATCCCAGCCCTCAGGAGGCTGACGCA